GCGCTAAGTCGTAAAACTTTATAAACTTGCATTTCGAACTATCGTAACTCTTTGACGCATGCGTTTTAATTAAGACCTTATTCAGTATGCATTAAAGTTGATTATCAATGTTTAAATAATGCCTTATATTGTTTTTGACTACGTGATCATCTGACGGGGCTCAGTGAATCGTCCAATGTAACTTTTGGACAGGTTTCGGCCACGATTTTGTTCGTGATGGTGTATCTAGGGTATTTAATATCGTTGACAATAACCTAATTTTTCTAGAACAAAAATTAATATTCGCTTTGCTTTTAATTTCGTAAGTAACAAAAGCATACTGAACGTTCAAGGCCACCGTAACAAAAAATGTGAATTAATTTGCAAGTCGCTTTCACTGCATTATCATTTATTAGGTTTGTTATAGAATTCTAAATTTGTCAAGGGTTCGAGTTAGTGACACTTGCATGCAACGTGACATAATAACATAATATACAATGTCGTGTACTATTTTTATAATACAGTAACTGATTGTTAAAAAAGAATATAGTGCAGCAAATACATTATATCACTTTTTTATAATGTAGTATTTAAAGTTTGTTTTACCATCAATGTGGAGTGGAGATCTTTATATCCTGGAGTGGAGACTATTCTCAACAATTGGCAATGTATGAATGAATGAATGATGACGATGAACTAGCTAGGGATTCACAACACAAAGTTATTAGACCACAGATTAATTCTAAAAATATTTTCCACGTCAGCAAAGTTCAATAATAACTATTATGGTACTTGGAACGTTATGGTCCTGCTGCTCAGGCTGTTTCGGAAACAATCAGGCATTTTTTTCGCACTGTTTCACTTTTTTCATCGGATAGTAACTTAGATCCAATCTATGACAATAATGAAAAAAAAACTAAAAACACGCTTTTATTTATTGCAATAAAAAGCCAAAAATAAACAAAATATACACCCTGTTTACTTAATTAGGGTCTAAGAGTTATTTTTATAGTTTATTTTAACATATGTATATGCATAACTGAAAAAGCGTGCGGCGCTATTCATTGCAATATTTATCTAATCAATTAATATAATTATTACGTGATTCATAATGCTTAACAATTCAGTTTAAATTTTATAATGAAGCGCCACACCCTTTTTTCAGTTATATTTTATGTTAAAATAAACTATAAACATGGCTAACTTTAAGGCTATAATGAAGTAAACAGACATTATATTTTGTTTATTTTCTTCTTTTTACCCGGCTGCGCAATGCAAGAGCGCGAAGCGCGACGCGCAGACAGGGTTATGTGTTTAACAGTCTATATATGTATGTTTGTTCCTTTGTGGCACACTAGAGACCAAACGCCTGGACCGATTTTGATGATTTATACATCAATCGATTCGTCTCAATCATGGGAGTGCTACTAAAGATATGATAGTAATCAAAATTCAATATGGGCAAAATTAGGCGCCATATTGTGACGAAGTAAAAAAAATAAGTTGACAAAATATGTCGAGTGGGGTATCACTGTCCAGATAATCAAAAATCATATTTAGGTTTCTAACACCATTTTTCATTTTATATGATTGTTTAGGATCTACAACGCTTTAAAGTTGTATATTAACCACTTACGCTTTTAATTTCAATCTTACGTTTGTATGGATCTTTGTTACTCTTTCACCTTAAAAAATACTGAATGGATTTTGATGAAACTAAACAGTAATATAGCTCATATATGATAATTACATATATATAATAATTTATGTAGTTATTGAGTGAACTGGGCAATATATAACAATAAGTGTCACATAAGACGGAAAAAAATCTCCCATCTGGGAGCCATTTTGGCCTGCACTGCAAAAACAATAACAGTTACATTAATTTAATATAGAGTGAAAATGTATCTCTTAAATAGTTCTAAAAAAAAGTCCGTGACACCATATATCTATTTTTAATGTGTAAGTCATTACCGCTAAAATAGTGAATCAAAACTAAAATATTATTTGATATCTATTTCCAAAATGCACATTTTGTATTAACAAATCATTTTTATCAAAACAAATACTTTTATCGCTTTTGATATTTAAAGACGATAAACTTTGATTTTTACACTATGTCATTTCGACAAATATTTAAAAAGTTACAACGATGACAAAGTGATAGCGCGGTGTACTATGTAAAAGAAAAAAAATGGGGTATTCGCAGTATCTGATCCTATACGAAGTACTAACTAATTATTGAATTTTAATGAAAAACTCAGAATTTTACTGTTTTTCATTTATTTTAACGATATTACTCAATGTTACAAAAAAGGTTTACTTAATATAATGACAAATAACCCATTTTTCGCTAGTAAGTACATACTTATTGGAATCCCTGTATTTATGAATCAGCTCGCGATAATATTGTTTTTGTAATAATTCTGCAAAATTCAAAGTAAATAATGTAGATTTTTATAGGTAAATCACCCCTTTCATCACCCTACGCCATAAGTATTGCGATGTTGTAGCTAAGAACCAAGTTCCCATCTACTTCTATATGGGAATTCATTATATTCGGTTTAGCTATTAGGGCACAGAAGCGCAACAAACAAACTCACTTTCGCATCCATAATATTATATTATACTTACTAGTGATCCACCCGGGCATTGTACGGGCGAAATTTATTTATCGGGATAAAATATAGCCTATGTCACTCGGACAAAATGTATTTAAATAAAGAAAAATGTTATAATAAATAATGTAGCTACCTTATGTTGAATTAATATTTGAAACCGGTTTAGTAGTTTGACAGATTATTTGTTACAAACATACAAATCTTGCCTCTTTATAATATTAGTATAGATAGTTAAAATAAGATAAGTATTTAATTGATGAAAAAGATTTAAAAAACCAAGTAAGTAATACGTTTATTTCATTATATTTGTAAAAGTTACTTAGCATTTGTGCTTAACAGTGATACGTTATTCGGATTTTTTTTAAACAAAAACTTATTGGAAAATAATTGCCATGATTGCACTACTGGGAGTACTCTTCATTCGAGCTTTACACTACCAATAAAAAAGGGTCGAACACAAAGTCTTTGACCTGTTAAATGTGAACGCTTTAAAAGAAAACTACAAAGAGAACTCTAAATTGATAATAAATGAGATTGCTATGGTGCTCTACCTAACGTTATGAAAATTTTATTATGCGCCTTAAGTTTAATAAAATATTATAAACTTTGCTTTGGTGATTGCATAATTATTTAATTTAGTGATCTAAGGCAGTTGCCACCTTTGTCCAAAACAACAGACGGGAATTACTGCTTTCTTCAACCTGCGACATAAACGTCATTGATTGGTATTGTATATAGGGTGATTAAAAACATTTGAAGTTAACTTCTGGCATCTACATATTGGGTTTCTGTGAATTATGTAGGTATATCAAATTATGAGACTAGGGACTGACACTGAATTTGTGTATATCACAATCTTAGACGTCCGGCATTGACATGACAATGCAGCCACTGCCAATTTTAAATAGTCGACGAATAAAAGTAAATGAATTTTATATTTACTGCTAAACTATTAAAAAAAACATAAACAAAAGATGACTTTTTGAGTAAGTGCTAGTTTACTATAAAATTTACATACATTGGAGATATTTATGTAACGACTTGATTTAACTTCACACTTTTTTTGCGAAAATTGAGGCGCATCTGTAGCCTTGACCCCGCTGGTAAAGTCGTTATATGTCTTAATAAATCAATCTTTTAGACCGACGCAAGGTACTTAATAATTCCCGCGATATTAATTCCCTTACTCAAGTAACAAGACTACGGTATATACCGTCTTAAAATACTTACTAACTAAAAAGTGTGAAATAAAAAAGGTAAATTTAAAAAATCAAAAAACCCGACTGCTTAATTATACTTCAAATAAAAACTGACAAGAAAAAAACAAGTCCAGTAGTCTATAATTCTGTTAATAAGGAACAAAGCTACTTTAACAGTCGGAACCCATTAGATATTCAAGAATACATAATATTTTTGAACAGTGGGTCCCGACTGTTAAAGTAGCTTTGTTCCTTATTAACAGAATTATAGACTACTGGACTTGTTTTTTTCTTTTCAGTTTTTATTTGAAGTATAATTAAGCAGTCGGGTTTTTTGATTTTTTAGTTTATTACAAAACATAGAGCGAGTTTAATGCAATATTATGACGAATGTTATGAACCCAAACTCGATATGTTTAATAGTAAGCAGTCCAAGGTCCATCAGCCACCTTCTAGTCCATCGTCAGGTCCTCGTCATCAGAAGAAATGAACAGAATATATTGAGATGAATCTTATAATCCCAACCTCAATATGTTTACTATCATCACCAAGCTGTCCAGGGTCCACCAGCCACCTTTTAGTCCATCATCAGGTTCTCGTCATCACAAGAAATGAGAATATGTTAAGACGAATATAAAGAGCCCACACTCGACATGTTTACTAGTAGGCAGTCCAGTGTCCATCAGCCATCTTCCAGTCCCTTTATCAGACCAGTTCGATGCTACCATAATACTGTGTTGTCATCTAATCTACATATAATTGCCAAGTTTCATGATGATACAAGAATTAGAAGTGCGTGAAATTTATATTCTTAGATTTTAATACATAGTTCGTTCGTTACAAGTCGACCTAATAAAAGCGTGTTAAAAAAAAAGAGCTCGGTGGCGCAGCAGTAGCATGTTCGGTATGCGATCTTGGAAGTTATGCAACTTTTGCAGTAATCGGTCACAGGATGGATGACCAAAAATGTATTTAGGTACTTTAGGTTCTTCATGCTTGTATCAGTTATCAGTTGTCTTTTATAAGTCTGCTGTTGTCTTGGTCTTTATCTTATTTTCATGTGCTTTAAATTTTTATAAATCGTTAGTACAGGTAACTACACTGAGCTCGCGTGGTGGGTTCCATCGAGGCAGGGTACTTCTGTGTAGAATGCAACCCAAAAGTTAAATTCAATCATTTGGCTTAAATATTTTTTTTACAGATACGGAATATATCCGCAGAGATCCAGGTGCCGGGGTGCTAAAATACAATGCGGCGTCCCGTTCTCTCACCACGGTGCTAAGTGAGATGGACTTAGTAAGTACTTAAGCCGGCAGTCACGCGCGTACTGCATAATTTCACCATTCATATTCCGTATATTTCATGGCTGCTTTAAGACTTGTTTTATTATTTTATTTAGAAAACTTATATTAATACTATTTACCTTCTTACGCTAATGATTTAAATTGATGCGTAATTTCAAATTGATGATATAAAGGTTATATGATCGAATTTAATCGGAATTTAGGATTGACCTCAACGGTGCCCCATTAGCAAAAAACGGGTGTGAGTTGTCATCCGGAAACTATATTTCGTAATATTCAATTAAATTCGTTGAAATGAGAATAGTTATAATGCAACATATACATTTTAAAATTCTGGTAGGAATAAATTAAATAAATAAAAAAACGATTTACATGTTTTTCGCCACCACCAAGGCTTTATCGTGCGTTAAAGAACTTCGTTTCAATATGTTGCCGAGTATGAAAAAAAATATGCTCATTAAAAATCTTGTGATGAACGGGTTCGAGTACTATCTAGATACGAAGATCAAATTTTTTATGAGTGCCGCACCCAAATGGTTACGTATTCTTTATCTAAGTCTCCGCTATCTGTTCATCGGCTTTTACATCATTAGTCTGTATTTCAAGAACCGTAATAGATGAAGTAGCACCGGAAAGCCCATTCAAGAAATGTTTTTCTTCCGGCATTGTTTGTTTGACTTAGTATTGAATTGACCATTCTTTTAAAATTTACTGTACAATGGATCGAAAATTCCTGATGTTATTTAATTCTCGTACATATTTGTTTTTCCAGTTCCTTCTACAAGACAAGATGGTGTACACATTTTCGGAAGATGGAAACTATGCATTGCTGATATCCAATAAGAAAAAGGTAAGTAAGAGTTTTTTTAGGGAATTCAAATATCAAGCAATCATTTACATAAAACAAGTTCCTTAATTTAGTAATTAAAAAACACGACTGCCGTTAACAAATGAACAAAAAAGTAAAACTGTTAATATTTGATGTGGCGATCCTTAGGGGAGGCCTTCTTCTTCTTCTTGCAACAGGCGTTTCTGCAACTCGACGTCCTTATGGCGCCTGTTTTGCGTGAGGAGGATGTGTAGCCGGAATCACTCCAGCCAGTCCAGCTCCGTTAGGAACGCTCCCAGGGCTTTCACATTGGTGACTGCTCTTGGAGATTTCCCGGTGAGCCGAGGTATTTCGCCCGGTATTCGGCCACTCCGTTGCATTTCAGCAGAACGTGAGTAGCTGTTTCTTCTGCCTCCATGCATACTTTGCATAAAGGGCTGTCCGTGACACTTAAGTTGAAAAGATGTCTGTTAAAATGGACATGTCCGGTAATAGCACCTGTTACCATGCGCAATGTAGGTTTGCTTAGCTGTAGGAGAGTCTTGGAGAGGGCAGCGTTCACCCGTGGCAAAGCGAGCTTGGTCTGCCTGCACGTCGTCTGCAGATCGAGCCAGTGTTGCTGGTGTAGTGCGGCTGTGTGCTTGCGGATATATTGACGAAGCAGCTTACCAGTACCGGGATGATTGGTTCGGGACCTGTTGGGGTTGTATCGGATCCCTTCCAGATCATCCGCCGCGTCGTTTCCGCGTGATCCACTGTGTGCCTTGATCCATTGGATAGTAATAGAATTGCTTGACCCTACCATATTTAAGGTTTGGTGGCATTCATGAAGGAGGCTCCATTTGACCATAGAGGCATCTAGAGCTTGTAAGACTGATTTGCTGTCGGACAGTATTCGTATCTCTTGTCCTGTTACCTTTCTGGAGAGGATCGCATTTGCTGCCAGTAAAATGCCCATACATTCAGCTTGGAAAACTGTGTTGTACGGGCTTAAGGGGAAAGCGATGTATATATTGAGGTCCTCAGAGAAAACACCCGCACCCGTGCCCGATGAGGTTTTTGAGCCGTCGGGTGTAGATCATGAGAGCCTTGTGTGTTACCTTTGGATCGTTGTTGTCCAGTAGATGTATTCTGTACTTTTTGTCAAAGATGAAGGCGGGTATGATTTTGTTACATGCCGCTTCTATGAGCGGAGTGTTTACTGATTCCTTCAGTATACCGTTGAGATGTCTTGCTCTTTCTAACTTTACCAGCCCAAACTTTTGTAGTCTCAACGCTGTTTTAGCCGCTTCCTGTCGTATGTCATCTACATTGAGCGGTGTGATGTTTAACATAACTTCCAGTGCTGTGGTTGGAGCCGTACTCATGCACCCAGTGACTGCGCTGTATACCTGCCGCCTGCATGACTGTAATATAACCATAGGAACAGTTTTGGTGCAAGACCCCAAAGCTTCCCTAAAATTTTACGGCATTGCCATAGTGTTACGCCCGCTGTCTTGATTTTGTGTTCCACATGGTTACTCCAGATTAGTTTGCTGTCAAGTATAAGGCCTAGATACTTTACCTTCTTTGACAGTTGTAGTGTGGTACCAAATAGCTTCGGCAGGTTTTAAGCACCTACGTCACGTTTGATTGTAAACATTACCAGCTCTGTTTTTGTTGAATTAACTGCGAGGTCATATTTCCTGCACCAGCATTCAACCAGTTACAGGTAATGCTGGCGTGAGTGAATGCAAGGGGGAGGGAGGCTTATGCTCAGCTGTGGGCGTCGTAAGGCTGAGATGATGATGATGACATATTTGAAATGGTCTCAAATGACCATTCAAGTAATACCTATAATGTAATAACTAGAAGATTTTATTTTGTAATAGACTTATATAACGGACATTTTGACAATGCTGTTATTTTAATTTTAAAAGTACTTTCATTGCTTTTGTATTCGTTGACAAATCGCTGTTTGAAAATCAACTGTCTCTGCGCGGAACCGATCGCGGTTACGTACGTCAATTGACGCATTCTAGAAACATAAGTTGTAAACAAGTGCAGATGTCGTTGCACTTTCTCCCTTACACCGCACTGCATAAGGCTCATATTAGAATGAGCCGCACCATTCGACCTTTATCGCGATCCGCGGTGTTCTGGTAAATTCAGTCTCTCTAGTATTTTCGCGGTTTTGTTTCGTGAGCGTTTGTGACAATATATACATGAACCCTGAATACATCACATTCTTTTTTTGACAATTGTGTAATTAGTAAACTTGTGCTATACTTTGTGCAGCTGAAGGAGGGTAATTACGATGGAACTAATATTATTTTTTAACGCTGCCGATTGCTGAATGTGCTGGCCAATTTTGTCACTCACCAAAATTTTCGTTTAGATATAGAAATCTAGCAATAAAATTCTGAAATTTGATAAACAATGTATTTATGTAAGTACACTCAGGTAATATTTTCTGTCATCACCATAAGAGTAATGTTTTGTTATAGGTTTATATATATATATATGTTACCGTCCAAACCCGATATCAGGACAAACTAGTTTTGCCTAGGCTAAACTAGTTGTTCCTATACGCGATAGGATTAATTAGTATAGCCTAGTCCAAACTAATTTGTCCTAAGCCCGATAGGATAAACCAGTTAAGCCTAGGCCAAACAAGTTGATCCTGATATAAATACACACACTCTAGGATAAACTAGTACGGCCTAGTCTAAACAAATTTAGCAGAGTCGAAAGTAATTGAACAAATATGTCAGGACTTGTACAGGTTTCGTCATGTAAAAAGAACGATGGAAAAAAGTGGAGGGAGTGTGATGCGCATAGATGCAGCTGCAACAAAAACTGTTTCACAAACAGTTGCTAATGATGGCAATGCTCTGCAATTCAAGAAGGCAATGATACTCTACAATTCTAAGTGGCACCAAAACACACCATATAAAAATAAATAACAATTTTAATAATTGAGATATTATTATTGCTTCTATTAAAAAAACTCATATTATTTGTTGTAGTATAATTGTTTTTATTACTAAATTATCCAAAACTTTTAAAGATGAATCATTATCGTTTTAATAAAAAATGTTATTTTTCCAATTACGGAGTATTTTATTCACTTTATCTATTTATTTTGACTTTCTAGATATACTATAATGATTAGACTAGGCCATACTAGTTTATCCTACAGTATGCGTATTTATATCAGGATCAACTACTTTGGCTTAGGCTAAACTGGTTTATCCTATCAGGCTTAGGACAAATTAGTTTCGACTAGGCTATACTAGTTAATCCTATCGCGTATAGGAAGACCTAGTTTAGCCTAGGCAAAACTAGTTTGTCCTGAAATCGGGTTTGGCCGGTAACATATATATATATACAGGGCGTCCCACGGCAACCTCACACGGAGGGAAAGTATATTAAATATTGAAGATAGGATATTTTACTAAAAGGAGACATCATTTTATTTTTAATTATAACTAGAACTGCATTCATAGATTTTTTAAAAATCACCTGCTACAACTGAGAATCAAACTTGTGAAAGGGGATTGTGTAATTTTGTATGGAGGTTGGCTTGATTTTTTTTTTCAGCGGCCACTGAACTAATTATGATTGTTTGATAGTACTATATATGTGAATTGTTCTTAGCAAAGAAGTAGTTCCATAACTAATATCGGAACCAAGATATTTGATCTTGAATTCTAACAAAAGTCATATGATATAAAAGCTCATTAAATTATCTCCTGAGATTATTATACATGATTTGTATTGTGGTAACGCTTTCTAAAAGCTAACATTAATGAAAAAAAAAATAAACAGATCAAAAACTTGATCTAGAGTACCTAGAGTACCTACCTGGGCCGCGGTAGCATTGGTGCTCGATGACGCTGGGAAGTTCTTTGAAAGAATTCTGGCGGGGCGTATCATCGAGCACCTGAGGGAGCCGCACCCAAATCTGGCAGAGCACCAGTTCGGGTTCCGGCGAAACCGGTCCACGGTGGAGGTGGTGGCCCTTTTGAAGGGGTGGACCGAGGCGGCCACTCGTCGGACTGCTATTGCGGTGTAGCTAGACATCCGCAACGCCTTTAGCAGTCTTCCCCCCAAAAGAATAACTGCCTTCATATTTGACAAAAAGTACAGTATACTTCTACTGGATGACAACGATACCAAGGTATCATACAAGGCTCTCATGATCTACACCGACAGCTCTTAAACCTCATCGGGCACGGGCGCGGGTGTTTTCTTTGAGGACCTCAATATACATATCGCTTTCCCCTTAAGCCCGTACAACACAGTTTTTCAAGCTGAATGAGGTAAGAGCGATCCTTTCAAGAAAGGTAACATGAAATACGAATACTGTCCGAAAGCAAATCAGTCCCTTTTTTTTGTGTCTGGAAAATACCTTACGCATCCTTCAACCACTGGGGGAACGAGAAGAAGGTATGTGGGACTCCTCCCTGTCCTCTTCAGCCAGCCCTGGAGCTCGTTGATGTGAACAGGGCCCTACCTACGCCCTGAACAGGGCCACTAAAAACCAGACAATACTCCTGCACCGTCACCCGACACGCACTATGAGGACCGCGGTCCCCCTAGTGCATGCCGAGAGGGCGGGTGTGGTCACGGAACCCGTCTCCGAATGGCCGCGTAGCAAATCAGTCCTACAAGCTTTAGATGCCTGTTTAGTCAAATCGAGCCTCCTGCAAGAATGCCACCAAACCCTTAACACGGTAGGGTAAAGCAATTCTATTACTATCCAATGGATAAAGGGACACAGTGGATCACGCAGTAACGACGCTGCGGATGAGCTGGCCCGGAAGGGGTCCGATTCGACCCCAATAGGTCCCGAACCAATCGTCCCGATACCAGTTAGCTGTCTCGTAAATAAAATCTGCGAGCACACAGCCGCATTACACCAGCAACACTGGCTCGATCTGGAGACGTGCAGGCAGACCAAGCTCGCTTTGCCACGGGTGAACGCTGTCCTCTCCAAAACTCTTCTACAGCTAAGCAAACCTACATTGCACATGGTAACAGGTGCTATTAACGGACATGCACATTTTAACAGACATCTTTTTAACTTAGGTGTCACGGACAACCCTCTATGCAGAGGATGCATGGAGGCAGAAGAAACAGCTACTCACGTTCTGCTGGAATGCAACGGAGTGGCCGAATACCGGGCGAAATACCTCGGCTCACCGGGAAACCTCCAAGAGGCAGTCACAAATGTGAAGGCCCTGGGGGCGTTCCTGATGAAGCTGGTCTGGCTGGAGTGATTCCGGCTATACACCCTCCTAACGCAAAACAGGCGCCATAAGGACGTCGAGTGGCGGAAACGCCGTTGAAAGAAGAAGAAGAGACCAGTCTCCCTCACGAGTGTATTATGGAGGCACTACATTTTCACTGCGTGCCTCCATACCTGCGAGCCATCGTGGAGGACTACCTGCACGGGAGGTCAGTCTTCTACGAGTGGCCCGATGGAAGCGTATGCTCTCGGCCCATGGCCGCAGGGGTACCCCAGGGGTCAGTGCTGTGTCCACTGCTCTAGAACCTGGGGTACGACTGGGTGTTGCGAGGCAGCATTCTTCCCAGCATGGAGGTTGTCTGCTTCGCCGACGACACGTTGGTGGCGGCGAAGGCAAAGTCGGTAGAGGAGGCGGTTCGCCTGGCGTCGGTCGGCCTCTTTTCCGCATAGTGCAGATACTGACCGGACACGGATGCTTCAGTTACTACCTGTACCGTATCGCCCGCCGGGAAGAAACGCCGCAGTGCCATCACTGCGGCGCCCGCAGCGCTGCGACCTAATCGCGGCACTGGAAGGCGGAACCCTCTCGCTGAGGAGCATGGTAGAGGCCATGCTCAGTAGCGAGACGGCATGGAAGGCGGCTGCCTCCTTCAGCAAGAACGTCTTCTCGTAGAATGAGGCAGCCGAGAGGGAGCGGGAGGATGATCCCCTGGCCACTCCCACCCGCCGAAAAAGAGTGGGCAGGAGAGGACGAGTGTGCGCCCTGGCTGCGCCCGTCCCATGACCCTGCCCGTGGGGATCCCAAGCTCCCTATCCCGAGCCCGCAATGCACCGTGCCGGACAGCTACACTGGCATATATATAGAGTTGACATGATCTTCACATACACGAGACCTAAGTGGAATATCCAAAGACTGATGTGATTGGCTGAGGCGGTCAAACCAGACAAAAAAGGGCCTGTTAAACCGTTATTAACTTAAATGGTATGTTTTAGACAACAATTCATACAAAAAAGCACGTAAGATTTAATGATATGAATTTACGGTAATTCTATTTAAAAAAAATCATATCTTGGCTTCGATGTACTTTACAGATATATGGCCATAATATTTTTTTTTATTTTTTTTAGTTCTATTCATTAAAAAATAAAGCATTCGTGGCCGCAGACTTTGAAAATCAAGCCACTTTTACCCAAACCCCTTTCGAAAAAAAAACAAGACATATTTTATTATAACCATCGAAAGGATTGATCATAAGGATTTTTTTTTGCTAAATAACATAGCATTTTAAATGAGAGAAAAGTAATTAAATTTAACATTTTATTTAAAATTATTTAACACAAACTAAAATAAAATCGGATAAGCCTCAAAGTAAGTTAAAATGTTGAGTTCATAATCGTTGACGTTTATCATCCGCTGCTGTGGTTCCTGTAAGCGCATATCAAAACGTCCCAAATTTCTTTAAGAATTCACTAACATTTTTAACACATATCGAGAAGGTACGTCTCTATCAGGATATCTTTCGCGGTACCACCGTAAAGCTATTATGTCTTAGTGGTTCATAAAGTAAGCTTCTAAATCCATTTTATTTTGATACGCCATGGTAAGTAAATTAACAAATAATTGCAAATAAACGAAAATGAAACTCACAAAAATATATAGTTGAACACAGAACCTCCTCTTTTTTGAAGTCGGTTAAAAACCAAAGAAAAGACGCTTGAAAATTTATGCGTTCCATTTTCGAATTATTATTTTTATAAATTTCAGCCAATCACATTGTAACTGTGAGTTCAAAAGAAAATTAAATGCATACGTACTACAGTTTGTATATCACTTAATTATTTTTATCACGTAATAAGACATTCTATTCATTTAAAATGCTATGTTAATTAGCAAAAAAATAATCCTTATGATTAACCCTTTCGATGATTATCATAAAATGTTGTTTTTTTTCAAAATTTCGCGAGTTTGATTCCCAGTTATAGCAGGCGATTTAAAAAAAAAACTGTAAATGCAGTTCTAGTTACTATTAAAAATAAAATGATATCTTCTTTCAGTAAAATATCCTATCTTCAATATTTAATATACTTTCCCTCCGTGAGGTTGCCGTAGGACGCCCTGTATATGTATTTTTAAATTCACACGAGTCTGATTTTATAATATTGTACTGTACGTGTCTTTTCCATGCCGCGTGAAATAGTAATAAATAATTGCAGTTTGTCTCAATGAAGCCGTTTGGATTGATCTGCTTAGTCGGCCATGCATGTTAAACGAGGAACTCTTTTCTCGCTGGTTATTAATGTACGTGCTGGGTTTCCATTATGTTGGTTCCAGTTTTTTTTTTCGGATTTTCCATCTCGAATGTAAATTGAGGTGTTCACAATGAAAGTGCACCGTTCTTCTTAGAACGTTTTAGCATTCATAAGCTAGGCATATTCAGGACTTGCTTGATTTTCCAGTGTTTGAACCAGGGATGGTGTAGTCGACAGCTGATCAAGTTATAGAAAACTTTAAAATTTCACTAACTGACTTAGCATTGTCTTGCCTAAATAAGAATTCATAAATGTTTGGGAATTGAAATACACTCGTTTATCTTTTAATAATAATTTCTTGGCTCTCACCCAAATCAGATAGCGTCTTAAATCCATAATTGCCAATAATTCACGAACGTTTAATAAAATTGTAGTTGACACCTCTTCATCATGAACACAAATCAATTAGCACCTACTTTTGCTTGTTATTTTGTGTCTCATCTGTCTTTTCTCAACTGAGTTAAACGGGACGAATAAGCTTATCAAACAGGATAAAATGCGTTAATTGTATTAATTGTATTTAAATGGTTTGCATAATATAACATTGGACTGGTATTATACTATGATATAACGTAGAGATAATAAAAAAGCGGCTGGTTTTAGTCGCTGAACATTTGCTGCATGGCTATTGCATATCACCTTAAAAAATCGGCGGGAAAATTATTATTAAATCTTTATTAATATGAAACACTTCTATCAAATGGCTGAGTGCTTGAAAAGATTAAAGTACTCAAGTACAGTACTCTAAACCCGATAGAAGTGTTAGTGTGATCAGCACATACTTATGTGTTATTATGATCATGGTTGTTAAAATACCTTAGTGACGTGATGTATTATTAATTAATTAATAGTATTACTTTATAAATGAGCTCTGGTCTTCTTGATGACCTCCATAGCCAAATGGCAGACGTGTCTTGTTTAACCTTGTCGGCTTTTTGGTTTCGATTCCAGGTCTGAAATTTCCGGAATCATGGCTGTGTATAACAATTATTATAGTACAATATTATAATTTGCCTTTTTTGTTTCAGGTCTACCGATATTCGTTTATTGCAACCTATCACTTGTTGTCCCTCAAAGATAAGTAAGTTAAATAAATTTTCTGTATCCCTCTCATAGAGCAATGAACGATTCAACTGAAAATGATATGCGTGTGTTCAAAAATGTCTTTGCAAATTTCGCAATGAATGCTAGTACAACTGGATGGCTGGATGGCCCCCCTAAGAAATTTATATACTATTTTATACTCAATAAATGCTTCAGAGTTTGCAGTAGCTTTATCAGTGAAGGAACATGCAGGCCGGCAGGGTGAGGATGGCTGGTGTGGCAGGTAGAACTGCTGTATCAGCTATCTTCGCGTCTGGATTTCACCTACACTTAACATCTGGTGGGGTGGAGTCATTTGTCGAAACTATCTATAAAAAAAAATCACGGTAGAATTTTTGTTACTTATAGTGAAGGTCCGTACCTCAATAGTACTCTTGCGGACGATAAATGGGTTGATGCTAATAGTCACCTCTTTTAGCATATTATCCATTTTGTTACTCTTTTATTCAATCCCAACAAGCTAACATTTATATAAATCAATGTACTACCTACTTATTACAAAGGAAAAATATGTATCAGATTAAAATAATTTAAATTTTTGTTTCGAGTTACACTTCCGCCATTACGGTACTACAACCTACTATTTAAGAAATACGCTACTCGGAAGTGAAATGTTCCATTGTAGTAAAATGCCATGATAAACGAACATTAAAATATTAGGCAGGTACCTAAGCCACACGGGTGCAGGCACGGTTATGCCCGGAAAACATGAACATATTCCATCCAAATTAAATTTATGTGCCGACAACACAACGAAATTATCATAATGAATCGGCGCTACAGGATTAATTTTGTCTTTAAAAAAAAAAGAAACTGGTTAAGTTTGATTTGTGCGATGACTTCTGGTATGCTACAAACATATAATCAATTGATTGGTCTCTCTCACGCTCGAAGCGAGAACAATTATTAATCTACGGCTACACAATTAGAGTATAAGAAAATACGCAAAACATTTGATTTATCAAAATTTATTTACTTTAACAAATATTTGAACTTGAAAGGAAAATCATTTTACACATAAAATCAGATACTGATCATTTTACAAATTCAGTTTCTAACTCTATTCTATTCAGGTCTGTCCATAGTATTGGTCATGGATTACCTCTCCAAGTTGTGGTTTGGAGCAAGAGCGGAGCTTTGGCCTATGTCAAGGACAACAATGTGTTCTATGTACCGCAACCGGAGCAGTCGGACACAATTATCCAGTTGACAAATCAAGGAGTACCGGGAGAGGTCTATATTGGAGCTACGGACTGGATTTACGAAGGTACGCAATACTTCTGAGATCATTATATAAATAGCGAATAATCTTATTTTCTTTCAATATCAAGTATGATAAAGAAACGTAAGTCTCGGATTACTAGCAGCTATGATGATTATTTTACGTTTGTGTGTGATTATTCTGCATGCATTAATTATCAAGTTAATAACATCAGCATAATTCTATCGTATTGAGATATTATGTGTGATATTATTTTATAAGCTAGAAATAGAAGTTTACCTTATCATTTACAATTTTAATGTTCATGAAAATGTAACTATTATTATATATATTATTTATTGTTATTATAGAAATGTAAGTAATATGATGGAACTCATTAAATTATAACCTAATAAAACCAACCTAAAACTTATTGCCATTAAATACTTTTAGAGGAGGTATTCAATGCAGCAGAGGCAATGTGGTTCTCATCAAACGGCACTTATCTCGCTGTGGCATCGTTTAATGACACTTGCGTAGAATCAGCCGTTTACCCTTACTATGGTAACTCTTCGGAGCAGTATCCCGAATTGGTCGAGTTCAAATATACAAAGGTTAGTAATATAGTTTACATATCGAAATTTCACATCTCACCATTATTTCTGATGATTAATTTCCTAATGTTTGCTAGGCAGGTCGCGTCAATCCCAGTGTTGGACTGCATGTCTTCAAATTGGATGATCTTCATAGTGAGCCATGGAATATACCAGCTCCGGTAGATGTTGTTGGTCTAGATCATATCCTGGGTAGAATCACTTGGGCATCCGATTCAAATCTTATAGTATTATGGCTGAACAGACGACAAAGCATCAGCATTCTAGTCAACTGTGATCTGAAGCAGGACAAATGCAGTATGATTAAGGAACACAGAGAGCCTAATGGTTGGATTGACATCACTCAACCATTTTTTGATGAATCAGGAACGAAAATGATTGAAATCCAGCCATTGTATCATGGCGATCAAAGATTCTCACATGCAGCTCGATTAGACTTTAATACTCGCGCCATTGAAGATTTGAGTCCCGGAAATTCAACGGTTACAGAAATATTGGGATGGGACCAAGATAGTGATACCATTTATTATATAGTATCTCCCTCAAGTTTACCCTGGCAAAGGCAGTTGTGGGCTTCCTCAGGAGGTATAGTGCGGTGTGTCACTTGTAAAGAACCAGCTTGTCATTACGTTTCAGCCATGATTTCCCATAAAGCTAGTTATGGCATTGTAACTTGCGGATCATCAAGTACTGTTCCTAAAATATTCTTATACGATTTTAAGGTATGTGAAATACAAAAATAAGATGTATTTATAAATAGTTTCTAAGTGAGTAATAAACATCTTAATGTTTCGTAGAATGGAATTGTTGAAACAATTAAAGATAACTTGATGCTGGCACAGAAGTTGAGTCATTACAAACTTCCATTGACTCTGTTCAACATTGTACCATTAGAAGATGATGTAGTGGCACATGTGGAGCTTTTATTACCACCAGATATCGAACAGGACAAAAAGTACCCTATGATCTTGAGAGTCTATGCTGGTCCAGGGACAACTAGAGTTAGAGATGGTTTTGATATTTCAGGTACGGATCTATTTAACAGTGATGTTTGTAGAAGATTTCGGGCGTAAATAGTATGAGTTTAAAATATGTTTCTTTCTTTTAAGAATTCTACAATATGTACTTAACATCGAATCGAAGTTTCATAGTAGCGGCGATAGATGTGAGGGGGTCTGGAGTGATGGGCGTAGAGGCAATGCATGCAGTGAACACAGCCCTTGGAACAGTTGAAATAACTGACACCCTACTGGCTATTAAGTACAACGACATTTATGTTCGCTTTCGGTGTACAGTTTTTGACTGTTTATTTTGTTTGTGATCAGAGTAACTAATACCCATCATATTGGTCCTTTTTTTGTGAAACAGCTATTTATACTTATATTTTATTTTTTTCTTATAGTGTATTAATTCCTGTCATATTATAGGCGGCTGTTATCCCTGTACACGTTCATCGATCCCAAGCGCGTGGGCGTGTGGGGCTGGAGTTATGGTGGCTATGCGACCACAATGATGCTCATTAAAGACGACGAAAAGATACTAGCGTGTGGAGCAGCGGTCGCACCAGTCACATCTTGGCTGTACTATGGTCAGAAGTTAATCTTAATACGGATATTTAAGAACTGAGTATATATATCAAAATAAATTTTACTAGAGGAAATCCACTCGGTCAAGGTGTCAGGCAGGATTCCAAGCTGCGTTGAGCGGATGCACTAATCGCTGTTATCAAGACCTTGTCCAAGTTCTTCTAGCATCTAAGGCTGAAAGCAGTGCCATTTTTTCGTATTGTAGGGAAACCACAAAGTCTATGAGTATATCAACATTTTATTTCTGTATAGTATTTTTGAGAGGTTGCAACTCTTAAAAAGTTAAAGGTTTTAAAAATATTAACACTATCTGATGGTCTAAGGTTTCAATTTTTTGAGGTTGTATTTTTTTTTATTTTATAAATAGGTGCGATGAGGTCCGATAGATGATTCCAGCTAACCTGATGTTTAGTGACGGTGGAGTCCAGACGCTGATTATAGGCATGTTTGTATGATTGAATCAAAATAAATAGGTCCGATATTTTTATATTACTATTCCAGACTCAATATACACGGAGCGATACATGGACACACCGCAGGCCAACCCCGTGGGTTACCAGCGGTCAGACGTAGTGTTGGCGGCTGAGAAGCTGCGCGGGCGCAAGTACCTGCTAGTGCACGGCACGGGCGACGACAACGTGCACTACCAGCACAGCATGCAGTTGGCCAAGGAGCTGCAGCATGCTGACATCGAGTTCGAGCAAATGGTTAGTGATATTTTTTTTATAACAAAAGTTATATTGCATTGCTAATGCTGATCTGGGGAACAACGCTACAACGTGCACTTCCAGCACAGCATGCAGCTGGCCAAGGAGCTAAAGCATGCTGACATCGAGTTCAAATAAGTGGTAAAATTATGACAATAGTTATATTTTTTACTTATATGTTTTAATTTTTTATTTGATTGTTGTGTGTATTTCGGTAGTATTATTTATGAGTTGATAAGGCCCTAGCCACTTGCGCCACAGGCTCCTCAGCTTGTCTAAATGCTTTCGTTTCGTTAAGCAACTTTCGCAGTGGTCGGTTACTGAATTGGATGGACCAAAAATTTACTATCTATCGAACTCCTCCGTGCTTCGAAAGATACGTTAAGCCGTTGGTCCCGGCTGCATCTTCAGTATTTATGACCCACCAATCCGCACTGGGCCCGCATGAAGGTGGGTCATGGCCCAATCTCCCTATTAAATCTATAGAAAAGGGCTGTGCCCCAGCAGTGGGGACATTAATAGGCTGATGATGATGATTTAATGAGTCATAGTAACGAGAGTTAATAAGACTAACTACCAGTCTCAGTCCGAGGCTGCAAAGGATAACAGTCAGTGGTGAGAAATGAAGTTTGAAAGAAAGAGAGGGAGATACTATTCATTTTTTTTATTATGATTTGGTTGCAAGGTCGCCGAACCTAATAGCCGGGCAGACCAGCCAGTTTAGCCTGACAATCTACATTATTAAGGATTTTTTGGCGCAGTAATATTATATATGACAAAAATTTTATGTAAAAGCGACTGACAGTGAACTCGCTTGCGCTCGTTTGTAAAAAGAAATCTTAAAATGTAATAACCCTAAGAAAAGCCGGACAAGCCGGACACCGTTTATTTTAGCTAGACACGCAATCAAAAAACCTAACGATGTACCGCATTATCCGGACGCCTGGTAACACTATCTGGGGAACGACGACTACGTGCATTATCGTACAGCTGCAGCATGCAGCTGATAAAGGAGCTGAGCACGCTGTCATCGAGTTCAATCAAATGTTTAGTTGAATAGTTATACTGTACTAGTTCCCGCTCGATTTCGTCCCTGTTAGCTTTTTCTCGCAATCTTTATTTTTCGTAAGAATAGAAAATAAAAAAAATAAGATTGAGTAATTAATTTAGAAAGGTTTTAGATAATAGAATGGAATTTTTTTTTTATTTTTTTATCTCTGAAGTTAAAATTTGTCTAGCTTAGATTAAAAAAAACTGTCCTTTGGTACGAATATTATTAAGAAGTCGGTTCAATATATGCAGCGATACTAATATAACTATTTGTTTATACTAGTGGTCTCCTTCATTAGCAGAAATTATGTTTTTCTATCAAAAATACATTATGTCTGTTTCAAACGAATAGCAGAAACAATTTTTATTCATTGTTATAGAAATTATTATTTAAGGTATTAAATTAAATTTTGAGGAGCTCGATGGCGCAAGTGGTTAGCGCGTTCGGCTGCGGTCTTTGAAGTTAAGCAACTTTCGCAGTGGTCGGTCTTTGGATGGGTGACCAAAAATTTACTATCTCAAGCCGTTGGTCCCGGCTGCATCTGCAGTCGTTAGCACCCACCAATCCGCACTGGGCCCGCGTGGTGGGTCATGGCCCAATCTCCCTATTCCATCCATAGGGAAGGCCTGTGCCCCAGCAGTGGGGACATTAATAGGCTGATGATGATGAAGGTATTAAACTGCTTAATTCTCATTATATTAATATTTAATACTATATTTTATTATTTTCAGAGTTACGCTGACGAAAATCATTCCTTGATGGGAGTAAGCCGGCATTTTTACCACACATTGGATCACTTTTGGACACAGTGTTTTCAATCATAACAACGTGATAACTTAAGTTTACAATAAAAAAAGTGCCGTGTTTTTGAGTTATAAGAACGATTATTGTATATTGTGTATATAATATATGAACTTGTAGTTCGTAATTCATAAAACATGAAATTATTACTGGTGGTCAAATAAAAGTGTTAATTTTAATGCAGTCAATTAATTAAGATGTACCTAATGTTTTAAATGTTCTACCTATTAAAATAACTACTTAGATGGTTATACAATAACGAAATTTTATTGAACTGTAAAATAACCGAGCTTATGTAATAGAGGTATTATAATTATGTATTTCCAATTTCGGTTTATCCATTGTAAGAAAACCACTGATCAAATGTACAGATCTCTCGATGAAAAGTGCTAGGTCATTGCCGATTTAATTTTAAGGATAATAAATGTAATTATACGTATAATTTATAATAGGTATTTCATTATACTTTAAAGTAAAACTTACCTAAGCGCATAGTTGCCGCCACCGCGTAGGCCGGGAATTGCTGTATGACATATGTAATAACTTGATTTTGGTATTTATGATTTTTTAACACTTTCGAGATTATTTAAAAACAACACTTGCTATTTATGAGTAGATCTCGAGAAGATTTTTTTTTTTAATACGTAGGTACTTCACTAAACTACAAAAAAAATACGTAATAAAATAACACTCTGCTAGCGGCAAAAGGCGGCTATATCAAAGGAACGCGCGGTACTTTTCAAAGAAAAATCGCGTTTTTTATTCTTGCCGTTTTTATAGAAATTTCGGGCGGCGCGTTTGACGAGAACATTCGAAACTTTCGTTCACACCGATATAAATGTTGCGCCTGCAGGATTTGGAGTCATTCTGAATTGTAACTTGAAGTTCTTGAAGGCAATACTACGTCGATACAAAGTTTATTATTAAATAGTACAAAATGAGTGCAGCGAAGTAATCTTAAACGTATCATTTTAATAACGATTGAGAGGAGGAATTTTTCTTTTGTATGGTGAAGGATAAGTGCATTTGTCTTATTTGTCGTGTGTCAGTTGCAATACCTCATCATAAAACGTTTCATTTCATTATTATAAATGTAGATATATTATTAACCTCATACTTCATATTAAGGCACTAATATTTATATGTAAACAATTAATTTCTTTATACGTAACAAGTGTTCTCTTTTCTATCGCTGTGTTCATAAAAATGAATTTGAAAGGCCAATATCATGTTTCTGAAGTGCAACCATTTAAATTGCTGAAGTATCGGGTGTTATTATAATATATATTTTTTTATAAATGTTAACAAAGTGTTAGTTTGCGAGACTTAAAAAGTAGGGAAAATGATGATTTACCCAACAACCCTCAAATCACGCACACGCGGTAAGCGGGCGGCCATTGGCATAGACGAGATTACGTCCGGTTTTTTTCAGGTCCGTGGTGGTGGGATGTTCAATTGAAAGGCTGAAGTATATTCATACAATTTTAATACGGCAACATTTATTTATTATATTTAGAGGTACACCGAAATATAACCATGACGGAATTCACTGTAACTTAGCGCTATCTCTGACAAGCGTTAAAAACTAATTTTATCCTATTAACTAATATTATCTGAAACAAAACCATATCGAAAATTCACAATGCATCAACGCCATCTATGAGAGGTGTTATAAACTAATTTAATATTTCAGTTTGTTTTTTATTAGTTTTATCGTTTTACATTTATATTGTTTCTATATATTAACATTTATGTATTGGTATATTACTGTAGTTATAAATCTTATACATGCCGCCCACAAAGGACATACTGCAAAAATGTCCTTAAATAGAGGGAGTCGATACATCATCATTAGTATATAAATTACACCCTTTTTTTAAGGTGTATAAATGGACTCATTTCTTCGTGCAAAAACATAGCATCCTGGAACAAAATATCAATATAGTGAAAATAAAAATGTATCTATCTCTTATATAATATGCACTATAAAAAATAATATTATAAATTTAAGATATTGGAAGTACACATTCGAAATGGGTCTTTTTCTCAATGCGTCTTTAATAAATTCTTTACAATGCTAGGTGAGACAGCGTGCTTTTTGGCCGCGTCCACGAGTGAGTTCGAGCGCGCGACTAGTTGAACCTTAACGTGTATGTATATGGTACGACTGTACCACGGTAATATTATCTGTACGAAGCTCGCACGGATCGAGACGAGCTGCTCCGAAATCGGACGAATACGTAAGTAGCTGTTTGTGAGAAAGTATATAGGTGTATAGATATCTATCATCTACGTACAACAGTGAATAGCTGTACGTGTATAATTTGTGTATAAAGTGTTTGTAATATGAATAAAAAAAGTAAGTACTGCATAAATAAAATAAATAAATAATTGCATAAGTTGGTAGCGTTCTGAGACAAGATGGGATGATGACATTCGTGGGCTGGCTGGAGTGGGCTGGATGAGAGTGGCAGAAAATCGGGAGGAGTGGCGTGCATTAGGGGAGACCTATGTCCAATAGTGGACGAGCATGGGTTGTTGATGATGATGATGATGATGAAGTTGATAAAAAATGCTATGAAATAGCTTCACCGCGGCAGTCGCCGAGTGCCACACGTATTTTTTTTACTTATATTCTTAGATTAAAACAAAAAGGGCTTACATTGTCATTTTTGCTGTCGACTTTAATACATATTATTCAGTTCCTAATATTTTTAATAATAATACATTCACCTTATTGTGGTAATGGCGATTTCCAAATTCATCGATATTGCGGTGACGGTAAATTGGAGTCAAACCCTTTTGACGTAAAAAACGTATCAAAAAGTGATTCGTGACTTATTTATACACAAAAATTTAAATAGGTATGTATGCAGGGTTTGACTGTGTATTGTGTCATTTTTGATGTGTGAGTAATAACAATTTCGTTTTTTGCGAATGTATTTAAGAGTGCATTTTTGTACACATTCTTACCCCTGAAAAATGTGGTAGAACGATTTCAGTAGTAATATGTCACCGTAATTGCGCAAGGTGGCTGGCAGGAGCTGGATGCGAGTAGCCCAAGATCGATATGAGTGGTGTGCAATTGGAGATATCTACGTTCAGCAGTGGACTAAGATAGGCTGTTGATGATGATGATGTCACCGTAGTAACTAAGTAGTCTGTGTATGGCTACTCCCCTCCTGCACCCTTACCACGAATCATTATCGAATTCGAATAGTTTGCAAACCGAAATGTCAATGTCAAATTTTGTATGTAAACTTGAACAGCAGCGGCATAAAGTACGTAGCGAGAACTATAAACCAGTACACATTTGACAATGACATTTTGGACTCGCAAAATACACGAATTCGTTATTGGTTCGTGCTAAGGGTCCTGGTCGACGGTCGTGTTGCTTTATGTTGCTACCTTATTTATGCATGGTATTGAGGCCAAAAGGAGGATAACGTATTCCTCTTTCATAATCATAGTTCAAGTTTATATTCTCTTATCTGTTGTTGTCATTTTGAAAGGTATTTTTGAGAAATTTTAAGTAATTTTTTATATTATTATAAAAATAATTTATGAAAACATTCACATATAAACTCGAAAGGGCTGTAACAACATGGCCCTGCTTAATAAAAAGATGGTAAGTACTGCAAGGCGTTGTGCTCTCTTCCTCATATGAAACTCATGCTCCATTGTGATGATTCTTTGGATTGTTATGTTGTAGGTGTCCGCGACTTCGTTTTATTATATTTCCATACAAACTTTAACTCCTCCTCACTCCATTAAAATATGATTTCTAGGATAAAAAGTACCCTACATCTATAGCCGGGTCTCAAACTATCGCTATACCAGATTTTATCTTAATCGGTTCAGCAGTTTGTGTGAATTGGTAACTGACAGACATACTTTCGTACTTATAATAATAGCTTCCGCTAGCTTCCGCCCGCGACTTTGTCCGTGTTATAGTTAGTTTCTTTTTGAGAATATCACAGTAACCTGATATTTTTCCGCGATAAAATATAACCTTACTCAATCCAGGCAATAAACTATGTGTGCCAAATTTCATGCAAATCCGTTTTACATAATATTAGTAAGATTATACTACATAGTTAATATGTTAACTATCTTTAAGGATATCCGAAAAGGCCCCAGTTTTGGTGGACTGCGGGCCGGATTTGAAGGATCGGGGTATTTGCGCCATGGACTCGTGTGATGCAGAACTATGTTATCCGGAGCCTCGGGTGGTAATCATCGGCGCCGGCATGGCTGGCATATCGGCAGCTGCAAGGCTAGCGCAACGGGGCATCAACAATATCGTCGTTTTGGAAGCATACGAAAGGTTTCATTATTTATTTTATTTCCGCTTTTCTACAAGGTAGACAAATACGAGAAAATAAGTTACTGAATGGACATAATCAAATAATATTTATTTATAATTTATTTATTTATTCTTTATTACCATAAAAACAGTAAATAATTAGAACAGCTGTTAAGACTTGAATTACTTTATTTTTATAACAACCGAGATTGTATTACAATTAAAAGAGTGAGTGGTTGTAGTTTAAAATACTTATTAGAAGAACATTTGGTAGCATGCATACCAAAGTTGCAGTTAGAACGGAGTTTTTCATGTTAGTTGTTCAAACCGACCCATTTGTTGGCATAAAATTCTACTATTGGAAAAGTTTTCATTAATGTAGGAAATACAATATTTATTTCAGACCCGGTGGCCGTATTCACTCCTGTTGGCTTGGAGATGTTGTGGCAGAACTCGGCTCACATTGGAAGCAAGACAATGCTTTCACTCATCCTATATACAATTTTTCGGCCACAGAAAACCCACCTCGTCCCGGTGTGCCAGGCACTGAACATACTCGGGGTCTTTTCAACAGAATCGTTTGCGGCAAAATGCCGTTTCCCCCAACACTAACAGCTTATCATAAGTTCCGACAAATAGAAGAGGAAGCAGCACAAATATACTGCCTCGGAGGAAATAAACAACAAGGTTCTTTGATAAACTTCATGAGTTTGAGAATTCAGCAGGAGTTACACGAATACCCCGAAGAGCAGCAGCATGATGCCGCGAGGATAATGTTCGGTCTAGCGCATATGCTCAACGCGCGATGCGGAGATGACACGGCCATGCTTTGTGCAGACCATGCCGGCTGTTTTATGAGTATGCCAGGCGGTGATGTGCGCGTACCTTTGGGTCTCGTAGGCATTCTCGCTCCTTTATTGCGACAAATACCAGAGGGTGCTATACGTTATTGTAAACCAGTGAATTGTGTGTATTGGGGTACGTCTCAGAAAACTGGGTATAGAGCCGTAGCCTGCACCTCAGATGGCGAAGAATTCCCGGCTGACTACGTTATCGTGACCGTATCGCTCGGTGTATTAGCTGCGAATTCTGCTCGCATGTTTTGCCCGGCACTGCCAGCGTCAAAGATAGACGCCATGCGTTGTCTCGGTTTCGGTCATTGTAATAAGGTGTATTTGGAGTATTGCAGACCTTTTTGGTTTTGGTATCACGGTGATTTGAATTTTAAATATTGTCGTCACTGTCCAAGTTGTCGCAATGATTGGACTAAGGGGGTGACTGCTATAGAAACTGTACCTAATAGTAAGCATGTATTGTGCGCATGGGTCGTCGGTAAGGAAGCAAAGGCAATGGAACGGCTCTGCGATAAAGACATAGTAGAAGGTTTGACAGAATTGTTGCGAAGTTCGACCGGTGATTCGACTATTCCGTATCCGATGACTGTTTTAAGATCGACTTGGACGTCGGATCCCTTTTTTGGTGGAGCTTATTCGTTTGACTTTAAGTGCAGTGACGGTACGGCGCAGAGAGCCTTAGCTTGTCCATTACCGGGGCCGAGGGAGTCAATCCCTCCGATTCTACTTTTTGCTGGTGAGGCAACTGTTCCTGGTCACTTCGCTACTGTATCCGGCGCCAGATTGAGTGGTATACGAGAAGCGGAGCGAATAGTGCAACTAACAGTCCAGTTCAAAGGACCACCGTTACCTGCTATACCTAAACAGCAGTCGAAGCCTAAAAAGAAGGCAGAGTACAGCTAAGGGCCGATGCAATCCAATTATGAATCAAAAGAAAAGCGATTCATTTGTTGAGCGAGAGTTGGGTGCAAAACAACGGAAAAGTTCCATGTCGTCGCGTTGTTCCAGTACTTTTCATATTTTCATTCCGGTAACTCATGTTTCTGTAACCACCAACGTTTCTCGGCAACTTTCCCGAAACTTCCTGTTGTTAGTTTTGAAACTTTGATGATAACTTGTAACCAACTTGTTATATGTGAGTCATTATTTGAGATGACATCAAAATGTAAAAAATATTGAAACGTTTTTTTGGATGGATTTGTTTTATTATGGAGGTGACGATACATGTCAATCACAGTTATGTTAGTTTCAGAGATCGATAAGGCTTATTTACTAAATATCTCAAAAATCTTTTTTATAAAGGTAACGAAAGTGATCCAATGACCACGAAAAATAACACTTTCATAAAGAATAGGATTTCTTCTAATTTTAACCTTTATTAAATCTAAACTTAAGGTGGACATAACAAGAGGAACCATGATTTGTTAGAGATCAACTGATAAAGAATAATAACCTTATAATGAAAAAATAACAAACATTTGACCACGAAAGTGATGTCACATTATGTTACCTCAATATGTATTATTAATTAACATGTTTTAATCACTCCGAATGCGAAATGTAACACTTTTTTTTACTTTTACGAAGGTTTGGTGTACTTCATACTACGCATCAATAGTATCTGTTGAAGAATCTGTATTCTTCAACATTTTAGAAAATTGTGAGCCTGCTGCACTGGCGTCATTCGCATCCAAGGCTGTAACCGCATCCTCTCGTTCTGAAGTTTCAGATGGAGATGGTGATTCTGCTGTACTTGCGGGATCCGCGACCAAGGCTATATCCGGATCCTCTCGATCCGAAGTTTCAGAAGCAGATGGCGAGCCTGTTGCACTCGCGGCATTCGCACCCAAGACTATACAGATTCTTTAGTTGTGAAGTTTCAGATCGAGATTGCGAGCCTTTTCCACTAGCAATATATGCGTCCAAGACTGTATTCGGATCCTCTCGTTCCGAAGTTTAGGATGGAGATGACGACCCGTGCTGCACTTGAAGTGTCCGATCTAAGGCTGTATCGGTATCCTTTCGATCCGAAGTTTCAGATGGAGATGGAGAATCTGCTTCACTAGCGATATTCGCATCAAGGGCTGAATCCAGTTTCTCTCGTTCTGAAATTTTTGATGGGCATGGCAAGCCTGCTGCACTCATGCCATCCGCGTCCAATCTGGATACAGTCTTGGACGCGGACGCGCGCTCTGGTTAAAATCACATTCGTTGCCTTAAATCACTTTCGTGGTCCATATGACAATGAAAGTGATGACCACGAAGGTGAGGGCTTCGTACTTTAACTGCTATAGTTCTAAATAGTTTTGAGGTTAGGATAAATACAAAATCCTATTTGCAACTCATACTTATTTCGAACAGAATTAACCTGTAATTTTGTTATTTAATTAAAAACTTACCAAAGTACACTAACTACGAAAGTGATGCACGATCTTCCACAAACCTTTTGATGAATAAAATATGATTTTAAACAAAAACAGTTATCAAATCGCACCCAAATATTTTTTGGAGTGAAATGACAGCCATTGATAGTAAAATAACATTTCGAATGTTACCGTTTTATTTGAAGTGACGGCAATTTTCGGAACAATATATTTTGTAAGAAAATGAAAAATTACAAGGTCTATTTACTTCAGACTTTTATTTAAGATACTCGAATATACATTATTATAGTATATTTAAGAAAATACAGAAAAAGTTCTTTTTGATTAAATTAGTATTTTTTAAGGCCGCTTGAAGTTTTCAGTGTAAATCTGAACAGGACCACGTAACGTGATTTTTTTCCAAAAAATACGTAAATTTTAATAAAATCTTTAAAATAGAAGAATACAGTATAGTCAGCACTTATGAAAGTTATGTTTTATATTAATTAACATCTTTAGACATATCTGAAAAAAAATGACAACAAATTTTTTGCACGTCAAATAGTTAATCGCGGTCAGAAAATGTGGTAAACATTTTCTGATAAACCTTAAGGATCATAATTGCATGCACACATTTAGACCACCGTCTCAGGATTTTCTTCTGTATCGTGGGTGTAATTACAAAAAATCTCACATGCACATTGCACATACGCCCAGACCAGGACAAATTTCTGTAGGCCATACAATATATCTGTGCCGTACGGGAATCGAACCTGTGCAGTAGGCGACGACCTCTGCACTATCCGTGACGTCAAAAAAATATAGAAAACCATTGAAAAATCTAATATTTTAGTTTTTTAACTAAGAATATGAAGAAATAATAAAATAGGAACTTCAAAATAATAATCTTTATTTAATATCTAGTATAACCTGCCTCTGCAGCTATGACGGCACGTAGTCTATCTCGCATTGATGCAACAAGATGGGGGCATAGATCGGTCCCTCTAATATCATCCCATACTCGAGCACAGTGTGATCTAAGATCATGTGGGTTCCTTTCATTTTGACAGTCCCAGCATTGAACCATAAGCCCCCATAATTTTTTAATAGGGTTTAAATCAGCAGACCGAGCGGGCCATTGAATGGGACGAATGTCATGGTGTAGGTTGAACCACGCCATAGTAGCACGGGTCGTGTTTATCTGTGCATTATCTTGAACATAAGTAATGGGCGGGAATTCTGTTGCAGGATACACTACGCGCACAGTAGGCCGCATCACTTCTGCCAAAAGCGACAGATAATTAATGGCAGTAGCCCTATTCTCTAACGACGCCAGTTCTCCGATGCCGTCGTGGCTCATCCACCCACATAAGTTTACTGTTATGCGACGTGACTCGTTTTGAGGCACGATATGAGCTTCATACCGAGTTCGATTATAGCGCCATAAAGTTAATCTTCCGATTTGGCTTGATTTAAAGGTTATTTGATTGGTAAATATAGTAATAATATATTTGACCAAGCAAATTCATTATGTTGTCGCGCAAAGTTAAGCCGGGCTGTTTTGTGGTGAGGTTTCAGCTCCACTTGAATAGCATGGTGTCTGTAGTGTAGTCCAGCACTTTGCAAAGCTCGTCGGATCGTCCGAGCAAAATAAAGCAGCAAAATAACTAGTTAACTTTTAGTATTAAAAAGTAATATATAATTCTTTTTGTTATTCTCGATGCGTCATATTGCATAATAATTACATAGTTACTTGATGTGACAAAAAAGCTGGATACATAAATTGTAGGCAATTAATTGTCTCTAGTTTGTAACTGTTATCGTAAAATGAGTCGGAAAGGAGATATTGTCAAAAAACTGCTTTTAGGCGCCATTTTTCCAATATGGCGGCGCGAGCGGAAAAAATACGAGGTGGCAAAGTCAAAATTCGGAAAGAGCACCTCAAAATCTATAAAATTGACAATTTTGAAAACTTCCGGAAAACTTTATAGGTTAAATTTTTGCTGAAAAGAGAAATTATTCATTATGAAAAAAATCTAGTGAATTAACCCGATTTCATTCTTCTTTTATTCAATACTCCTTGGATAGAAACAAACAATATAATCTGCATCCCTTATTGGTTGGATGAGTTATACCCAATCTTGCGCTCCCCGCGGTTACGGCACACAACGTGCATAGTTATCGTAATTTTTGCTTCTATTCGTCGGAATGTCGTTCGGAAAAGAATATTTGACTTCATCCATATAAGTGGCCGATAATTTGCTGCTAATAAACAGACTGGTAAAATGTTGATTTTTTTTATTAACAAGAGTTATTTGGTAATTATGAAACTGAAGATGATATGATGTGATGAATTTATAGGTACTTGGAACTAGGAAAATTAAATGTATTATTTTTGATTTTTTATTGGTTCTGTTTTCATACTACTAACTAAATACAAATGTATATATAGTTGGTTGATGTTGCTATGGCTTATTTAAACTTAAAAACTTAAACTTTCATAACAAAAATAAAAACTACAAATGTATGTAATGTAATAATTACAAATGTATTTAGTTAATATAATCTCTCTTTCATAAAGTAATATAACACGATATGTATACAGTTCGTATTTATGGAGTTCCGTTTTTTATCCCAGAAAGTATTTATTTGATCTTTACTTACCAATTTCATACTTATAGGACTATCTCGCTAACAAATTGTTCCAAACAAAAAATAATCATTTTTTTTCTAGTAAACTTTTCTTTAGATTTCAACATCTAGCAGTTAAATTCTTAAAAAATAAAAACATAAATATAATTTTTATTTCTTCTTTCAAATGTTAAATAGTTGTAAAAGTATTCATATGACATTGTGGGTTACCTACAATGCGAAGAGATGGCGCTGCCTTGCAGCCTAAGGCTAGGAAAAAGTCGACACGGCCGTCAGGGTCGCGGTAGTATAATGGTCAGTGCATTCGCCCGGATAGTGAAGGGTGCGGGTTCGAGTCCCGTCCACTGCCTGGTCCGCGTGGATTTTTTAGATTTAAACATCTAGCTGTCAAATGCTTAAAAAAAACATAACTTAAAAAAAGAATCGTCAAAATCGGTCAACACCCTCGAAACGAAACCCTATAAATGTGATGTACTAGATGAAAACTCAAAATCCAATATAATTGTGATCTTAGATGAAACAATTTGACCGATTCTCTAATTGGCGAATGAACGTTTTGGTTAGGCAGAACTTAAATGAACTGATTAAACATCTCCACTAACGGAATCTACTATCTAGTGTGTGGGATATAAAAGCTAGCTCCAATGGCTCGGCCTCAACTCAATTAGAGCCGACTTCAGCGGTACCTACCAGGGGGGGGGGGGGAGGGTTACAGCCGCAGCAATTTTTCACCAGATCAGCGGAAGCAATGGCTACATTAGTTTCAATAAGGGGCTTAAGCATAGCTTGAACGCTGAGTGCGCGAGCCTGGAATTTTTTTAGCAATTGAAAAATTAGTTGCCCTAAAATGCCATTACTTATGATCAGTATTCCATTAGTTTTTCACGATATTTCCATTCTTTAATTACGAATATATTTATTTTAATAAAGAAATAATGTATGCGTGAATCGAACCAACTATAAGTTTTGATATATATTTGGTTGTTAGCCCGTATACGAGTGCCTATGACTAAGTGTAAATGAATGGAGTCGAGTACGCCCGTATTCCACTTTAAATATTGCTTCGGGTGTCCGAATTCGAGTAATGACCAAGTGTAATTTAACCATAAGTGTAAAAAACACTTAAAATGCAAATCTCACCGTGACATAAAATTTATTTGAAATTCGTATTCTTATTTCAAATCACTCTACGTCCACGGTAAAAAGGTGAGTTTTTTTTATAGAGTAAGACGCCAGGCCCGCCATACCTAGGACGCGGTGAACTTCGCACTTTATAGCGTAGAGAATATTCGCAGGGTTTTTTACAGCAGTGTAAGAGTATGCCGTAAGTGCTCACAAGCTGCGCGGACTGCTTAACAGTTTCTCCGTTTCGCACCCCTGAGACTTGCGAGAGGCTAGGTGTAAGGTCCGTTCATTGGTGTGCCCCTTATGGGCGCCAGCGTTTGTAAATAGAGGTTTCGGCTGCGTAAAAAAAGACCCTCCAGACCTTACTTATTTTCTGATGGACAAACAAGACGAGAAGTATTAGTGTCTACAATAAACGTATACGTACTCGCTAACTTGTGCTGTAGGACAATTTTCAGGTATTAGGTGGCTGGGTTACGTACGATAAAATTTTATTAACTGCTTATAGTCTGCCAACTCATTCTTATGTACACACATCAAAAAAAGTTTGCGATCACTTTGAAAAATAGATTGTTTTTTGTGTTACAGAAGACTTTTTTGTAATTTATTTTTCTGATAAGATTCTAAATTTTAAAATTAGAATTAGAACGTAAAATAATTCGATTGTTTTTCTATATAAAAAGACATGTAATCCAAGCTGACACTCATTCAGAAATTTGACTTAGACAATATTCTCGGATTTAAAATATTTTTTCACGGAAAGTTGTGATTTAGTTAGACTGGCCTGCCGGCTCTCGTGACTAAAACCCAATAGAGCACGCGTGGGATGCTCTTAAGCGAGCTGTTTGGAACCTGCTGCCACCACCCCAGACAGTGCCACAGCTCAGGAAAGCTGCTGTTCAAGAATGGGACAGGTTACCACAAGAAATGCCTTATAACTTGATCCTCAGCATGCCCAGGAGTATCTCCGTGTGTGTTCGAGCCAGAGGAGGAGTTATTTTGTATTACATAAACAACAATTATTAATAAAAGGTTTTTAAGTTTGGTTAAACTATCTTGTTATTTCTATCAAAGTTCTACTACAATCGCCCTAGGATTGAATTATTATTTTTTTTATACTAAAAAATAAAATAAGTTTTATGTTTTAATTTCAGAAAGTGTATTTTTAAATAAAAAAGGATATCACGTAAACATTTTTTCTTGATTAAGTTAATTTTTTAAAATATATCAGCTATTGCAAGTGATCTCAAACTTTTTTTTGATGTGTGTATGTTGTGCAAAATATAGAAAACAATTTGAAAATAATACTGCCCGACAAATTCGGTCAGCAGTATTTATTGCCAGACACTTTTGATGTTGAAAGCAAAAAACACAAACTTACAGTTCGAGACCTGGTATTTTTCTATGATATTTAGGGGACTATTAATATATTTTGTTAACTGGCAGATCAAGCGTAGGAGCAAAAACATCCTAAGCATATTTAAAGTGCCACTGTGCAAAAGGTCGCGCTCATAGTGTGTTATATGGTCTTTATAATATTTAG